ATAAGAACAAGTTAAAACAGCTTTAAGAAAAAATGGCTTCTTCACATCTAGAATTATAAAGGCACAGAAATTCCTAAACAAAACCAGAAATTCAGTAGAATAACAAAAACTAATTGGTAAGACTATCCAGCCCTATATAAAGGACACGATATATAAAACAGCAGATTTCTAAGATAAGACAAAATAGAGACTACATTTAACGCTGACAAGAAAATCTTCACTATATTATTATCCGCAAAAATAAAAAGTGCATTGGAAAATCAAGGAGTATACAATAGTATACAAAAAGAACATCAAAATGCCATCTACATCTCTCAAAAAATCGATAGAAGTAAGATCAAAGCTCTCGAAATGTGAATCTATATAAGAATCTACACGTGTCCTGGATAGAACAGAAAACCAACCTATCATATGGAAGAAGAGCTTAATATAACAAACAGGTTATTAAAAAAAGTTAAATAGAAGGAAAGGTATAAGGGCGAAGAACAATCTTTCCAAGAAGATTGGAAGATTAAATGAAGACTGTTGAGAAAATCTCTACATGGAGCCGTCCATCTGGCACAACATTGCGGCCAATGGAAGCAGCAAGCTAACGATATTTATTGTATCATCACTTCCTGACAAGGGAATTCAAGGAATTGCTCTGAAATGATTGTTGCTTTAGTAATATTATTTATGAGCCTTTTCAGCCAGTCTCATTTCATTGCACAGTCGAAGTTGATTAATGTTACATTACGCAGCATAATCATACATAAGCCAATGTAACAAAAAATGAGGAACTGGGCTGTAGCGGTGAGCACAAATGGAAATGATATGGATGAAATGGTTACAAGAAGTAGAAGTGTGCTCACAACACAAAATGTGTTTGGCTTAATGCAATTTGACTAGCAGACTATATCGGAGGATGATCAATAGACACTCAAGAGAGGATTTGGCCAATTTGCATGCCCTACAAAGACAGTAAAAAGAGAATAAATACGGAAAAGAGATATAAAACAGATAAAATGATGGGAATGAGTGTAATGAAATAAGCAAATAGCTCTAAAGAATGTTAGGGCGCCAGGAAAGTATGAAGGTATTGTCACGTAAAACTTTCTCCCAATACTGTATATGCTGACTTTAACTTTAACGAAAACAAAGAAATAAAAACCTGATAACAACAATTAATCTACCTGCTAACTAGATTATAAAATTCATCACTTTAGCATCGATCAAGTAGTAATCACGAATGAAATGGAAATACCTGAAACTACCAAAAAGAAGATTAAATATATGGAAATACAGATACAACGAATAGAATAATCCCAAATCAAATTGGCTTTGTCCTCATTAGCAAAAGATTTCGTAATTCTGAAGAAATTGAAAAAAAATTTTCTTTTTTAATACGCGTAAAAGAATTAGAGAACTAACAGGAATGAAAAAAACACGGATTTAAACCAGAACATGAAGAGATGGGCACAATATATAGCACAGCTTTATGAAAACAAAGAGAGAACAGAATTATCAAAGAATTTAAAGATAATACTGGGTCTGACAGTATGCGAGAAGTAATCGAATATGGAATAAAGTAAGCTAAAAGTATAAATCTCCCGGGCCTGATGAAGTTCCTAACGAATTACCAAACCTTGTGGATCATCATCATTTTGACTTTACAACCCTGTGTGGGTCCAGCCTGGTATTGTCCTATTATTCGCTCTGTATATGGTGCCATACGATGGCATAGTATATTGGAGAATATTTTATACGCTGCATTTAGGAGCGCAATTCCTTTCTTTTATAAACTGCTGCAGCGCTATTATGATATCATGGCCACCGTCTTTATATAATTCCGCTGCGAGATTATCTATTCCGGGTGATTTGTTTCTGGCTAGTTTGTTTACAGCGCCTTTAACTTCCAGGATCGTTGGTAGATCCTCCTCCCTCTCGTCTGCTCCGCTTATCTCACAGCTTTCGTCTTCCGGATTTTCTTCTTCTTCCTCTATATTAAGTATCTGGTTAAAACATTCCGTCCATCGATTTAGTACGTCTGTTCTTGTTTTTAATAGATCGCCATTAAAACTTATACATTGTTTTGTGTTTCCCTTGAATTCTTTTCTGTTGATGTTAACTTTCTTATAGAATGTTCTGAGTTATTTCTCTTTGTTGAGGTTTTCTACATATTGAAGTTCCTTTTTTATGTGGTTTCGTTTCTTCATTCTGTGTATTTTCTTTTCTTCTCTTCTCTTTGTCTGGTAATTCTCTACACTTGTTCTAGTTCGGCGGGTAAGCATTTTTGCATAGGCTTCATTTTTTTTTCTGTGTTGCGTCTTTGCATTCATCGTCATACCAGTGATTTTTTCGGGTACAAGTTTCTGTTCCTATTTCATCTTGTGCTGCTGGCTCAATATCTTTCTTTATCCTGTTTCAGTAGAAGTCTATATCTCTCTGGTCTTCTTCGCTTAGACTTGTCGATACTGAATCTATAAACCTTCGTTTGGATCTATTTAATGCCATATACAGAACAGGTATAATACCTAAAGAATGGCCACAATCGACATTTATTCTTTTTCTCAAAAAAGCCAATGCAAAGAAGTGCAATGAACATCTCTCTATAGCCTTAATGAATCATGTCTTGAAACTGTTTTTAAAAGTAATTCACAATAGAATAGGTACATAAAAAAATAATATGAAGGCATAAGTAGTACACAAATGGGATTTAGGAAAGTTCTGGGAACATCTGATGCTCTTTTTAGAGAGAGTATTCTTTAGATGTCTGGATATGAATCAAGAAGTATATGCCGGTTTTATTGATTTTGAGAAGGTTTTTGACAGAGTTTAGCATAATCGGCTCAAAGAAATTTTGTTTAATACAAACATAGACAATGTGTAACCTATATTGTAATTAAACAGCGAAAGTGAAAGTTGAAAATGAACTGTCTGAGGATATTCAGATTTACCTTGGGGTCACAGAAATGGAACAAATATCTTCATACAAATACCTTGGAACATGGATAAGAATGTTTCGATGTTATATTTTTTCCACCATTTTGTATGGGTTTGAGACCTGGACCTGGTGAAGATGAGGAAAGCTTGCCGGATCCAAAAGGAGTTTTGGTACCTACTTCGCGCCCAAATCTCATTAAAAATTCGTTAAAAAAAATGTAGAGTTTAGGGCCTAACAGTTTTTTAGGGCACTTATACTAAATACGATTCGTTCTGTTTGCATGGGGTATTTTAGTTCTGAACCTTGACATTTCATTGAGGGTTTTTTGGCGATTAAAACACCACGCCGGCTAAAACGGGTTGGTGAGTTTCGATTCAGCCGCCCACTCTGGGTCAGATGCTGATTGCAGCCGACCACTCTGGATCAGACGCAGATGTTTAAAATACTGGTTGGTCGACCATGTAAAAGAACATCCCTTTTATCTTCATTTTTCTAATGCCTAAACGGAGTCTCTAATATATTACACACCAAGTAATTAATTGGATTCATGTCTGTCTAAAATTATTTTTCTCCAAACGAAATCCACGAGAGACGAGAACACTTTATATCCGAAATCCGAAACAAACAACAGAGAAATGTATTAATAAAGTGTACTAAATAAATAAACTTAATACTGTGACTAAACTAAACTAATAAATACTATATTATACACTATACTATATAAAAATATCTATATAATAGACTAAATTTCAAAATATTATCACTGAGAGAAATTTCCGAAACATAGTAATACCAAATACACATCCAACAGTGGGTAAAGACGGATAATATATTTTTTGGCGGAACTGCACTCGACAGTTTTCTCAGCTATCACTAAGGATAGGCTGACGTCACGTTGCATGGCAACCGTGAACGCTTATGCAGATGGATTTCGCATTTCAAAAATGATATTCACCTATTCCTGAATCCTACACGGCTAGTGACATAGGTCAGGACTTGACCGTCAAGTACCTACCGCTAATAAAGCTAGTTGTCTTTTTTTAATTTTTAGATTAGTTAAAAGAGAATATATAATTAATTTCAGAATTTAGATATAATAATATTGCTTTTATTTTTTATTTATTTGTCTCAATTCAATTATATTTTCACCTACTTCACCTGGCCCGCCGCCGCTGATGAAACAGTCCAATATTAAAAATCTGGAAGCATTCGAAATATAGTGTTACCAAAATATTCTGAAAATATCATGAATGGATCGCAAAACAAACGTAAAAGTTTTCGAACAACTTGGAAAACAATGAAAATCAGACCAGGCCCTGTGAAAAATACGGACTATTAAGGAATGTAATGCAGGGTAATATCAAAGGCAGAAGAAGAGTTGAAAGTCGTAAAATCTCGTGGCTACGTAATCTCCGTGAATGGTATAAATGCAGTTCAATTAAATTATTCAGACGCGTAACCAAAAAAATTATAATTGCCAGAATGATTTCCAATCTTTGATAGGAGCCGAACTTGAAGAAGAAGAAGCATAATGACAACTGATTTTACTTTTAATTGTAAATGTTTAGGTAGAAGTCCAGGAAGTTACAATGATTTCAAAAACTGTGTGGGATAGTTCACTACGTTATCCTGATTTATAACTATGTCAACTGATATTGAGCGAAAATACTTTCCTGGAAGAAAATGCGGAATGGTCATATTCCTATCATCGACATTTGCATTTTTTGCCGCCAATATTGCTCGTTAAATTATGGTATTTGAACAGGTGAGCCATGCTTGGAAAAAACGTTGAATAAGCTTGGCCCAGCAAGTTAATAATAAATTAAATTAAGAATTACAGTGAAAAAGTAAAATGATAATTATTGTAAACGTCACTATTACACTCGATGAATAAAAAAGAATAATGACCAAAAACTGTGTAGAAGGCTTATTGTTTGAGATAAGACAAGAGACAGGCTTTGTTCTTATTCCTACTGTTTACTGTTTACTGGGTGGGAAGTCACACAAAACAACGCCTGTAACACACTGCACTATTTAAGTATGATTTTAAGTATATCTAATTTTTTTCTTTTTTTAGCTTCTTATATTACACCCTGTAAAAAAACGGATCCCAAAATAAATGAATGTGCCAAGCAACGGGCTATAGAAGCATTGCCGTATCTTATAAAAGGTAAGAAAAATATACGGTAATATTTTATTACTGATTAAATAATGATCTTGTGATGATGTAGTTTTAATATTTTTATTTTTTTGATACTTGCTTATGTTAATTTTGGCTATTTAACTTAGCTCTTTGAGTTTTTTCTACGTCTTGTACAATTATTATAGGTCATCATCATAGTCATTAAGATCTTAGCAGGTGCGTTGTGGTTGATCATTGAGCTTCAGCAGCTCGGATAGTTTGATTAATGGTATTTCTCCGCTGGTCGCGGTCATCTGTTACATGTACTGCCTTAGTTTACTGTTTGTTGAGAAGCTTTTTCGTAATGGCTACCCATCGCGGTAGAGATAGCTTGTTGTAGGCACTTGTGTTTATTTTATACATTAATAGACTTGTCTACCTAAAACTTTCATTTTTCTGTTGGTGCCTATCTTCTGTGGATGTTTGGAATCTCATTGGTTCACACTACTTAGTTAACAATTACAGTAAATAATTTGTTGCTATATTAAGCTGCCAGCCTGTCATTTCTAGGAAATTGGATAATTCACCAGGATATTTCCCTTATATGGGCAGGTGTTGGCCAGTGCTCGCCGAACGCGTACTCTCGTGTTGATAATAACTCCTGACATTTACATAAAACACGCTATACAGTTTCGTCTTCTCGTTCATACTTCCTGTTTAAAGGTGTGTCTACTAGCCCTAGTGTGTGGAGGTGTTTGTTTAGTTGGCAATCCAGTTAAATAGCCAACTGTTAAGCCTAGGTTTTCCTTGGTCATTTACAAGCAGGTACTTCTTTGGTGCTGACTCAAGGTTCCTTAGTGTTACCTTGACAAGTCTACATCCCCACCCTTCTTCCAATTCCGCCCACTATTTAATATTCTTAAATAACGATGTACTTCTAACACATCTTGCCTGCTATCTTGCCTTACAATGTTGACTGAATGTATTGGTACTTCGCAGGCTTCCACTCCGTCTACACATGTCAAACGAGTGAAAAATACAGCAACTTATGACTCGGTCCTTATAGCAGTGTTTGGGTATATATTACATAAGATTATTTTAGAGAGGAATTATGGATATGTTATAAAAATAACCAAGCCTATAAAATGAAATACTTGTATGGCCTGTGAAGTTTTATTGATATTTTTTTAATTTATTAAATCTTATTTCCATTTTCTTTTGCAGGGGACAGAGCATATAAAATTCCCAGTTTCGACCCATATGTAATACCGGCTGTGGAAACAAGTGGTACGAGTGGTATCAACTTGAATCTCAAGAATTTACGCTTGACAGGTTTGGACAAAACAGTAATAAGAGCAGTTAAGTAAGTATTACTATATCGTTTTATCGTTTAATTTTTATAGAAAATCAAATATGGTTTGATTTTCTATAAAAATTATTATAGGAAGTTCTAGTACTAATATTTTATTGGGTTGAATCTTTCGACTAGTATTAGAAGGGTAATTGATTCAAATCATCTTAAACGAATGTCAGTTAACATTAAACTAAGCTAGTACTAGCTAGTTAATTTAAGCTTTTATTACAGTTTAACCCCTAAATGTCACCCCATTTATTAGTTATAATTAAAACAATGTTATTGAATACCTTGTCTCCACTGATTTGCATGGAAATTTGGATTTTGGGTTATACTTACCCACCACTTTAAAATTGGACTCATTTCCTTATATAATCTGGACCCTTATTAGAAAAAAAATCATTTATTTGTAAATTCAAGCAATTTAGAAATATTTAATTCCACAATGACATTAAATTTAAATTACTTTGCTGTGTTATTTTTTACCACCTAATTTTTACCTTTAAAACCACCCCTTGCGAAAAAATTCAGATAGTATTCGAAAAGTATTTTTTTTTCAATGAAACTATAAAAACAATTTATTTAATGAATTTATTTTATTTCATTAATTTGTCTTAAATTTTCTTATTATTTAAATTAACTTTGTCTTAAATTATCCTAAAACCACTTTTTCTTTTTTAATTTGTAGAAAAATGAAAGCTTTCCAAATATGGAAAAATTATTTTCCTGCAAGCAAGTTATTCTAATTGTTATTTGTTTGCAAAATATTTTACAATATTTAAAAGCGTTATTCTTATTTTTTTATAATATTGATAGAATAAATAAAGCTTTTTTTTTCATAAGCTATCCGTAGAATTACTATAACTTCATCATTTTTTAACTTATATTGTTGAAAAAAAAAAATATTTGGAAAAACTAATACTAAAATAACTTTTAAACTATTAGACCGCTTGCGTTAAATTTTTATTAGATTTTAAGCACTACCAGACCCAACAATCTGTGTAATATGAAGGTTCTAAGTTTATTTTAGAAAAAGTTATTACCATTTCTAAAAAACCGAAATTGCTAACTTATTTTGAAATTGTATATATATAATTATTTTTAGTGTCGATATAAAAAACAATAAAATAATAGTAAACGTATTTATACCTGAGACGATAACCGAAGCTGACTATAAAGTAGTGGGAAAACTATTCGCCATAGATATTAATGGGGAGGGACCTGCATCAATTAAGGGAGGTAAGTACAGTATATTTAATCGAATTTTGACCGCTTTGAATTAAGTATTAATTAAGTATTGGTACCCTCTCGTTAAACATATTACACTGTACCCAAGTTTCCACTCTACAGGGTTATGCAATTGAACTGTTACCTATTCAAACGACCATAATTTTTTTGTGTGAAATTATTTTTTATTGATTTAAATGACAAACATGTGTGAAAATAATCAAAATTTCAGAATCCACTCATTTTAGCTCGATGTGACCACCTTTTGCCTTGACTATTGCCTTCAAACGATCAAAAAACGAGTTGAATGTGACCTTACGGTATTTTGGCCCTTTCACGTATAATTGCTTTCTTCAGCGTATCCATACTGGCATATTTTTTAGTCCTCACTTTGCTCTCCAAAATGGACCAGATGGAATAGTTCATCGGATTTGCGTCTGGCGAATTCGAAAGCCATTGTGTGGATGAAATGAAGTGTGGACCATGGTTTTTTAACCATTCTTGCTTTATGAGACGGTGCCAAGTCTTGTTGGAATGTCCATGGTGTACAACCGAAGCCTTTGTTTGTCTGTTTGCGTGCCTACGGCTCTAAAGCAGCTTCTAAAACATTTTCTTGATAATAAGTTGCATTGACCTTGACACCAGATTCAATAAAAACGATTGGAGAGCGTCCATCGGCGGTTACAGCTGCCCATACCATTACTTGAGATGGGAAATTATTTCGGGTGGCCGTTCGTAAGCTCAAACTTTCGTAGGTGCATTCGGTCAAGTAAACACGATCATTTTGAGAGTTTATGAACTGTTCAATAGGTAAATTTTTCTCATCAGAGAACACTATGTTCGGAAATTCGCCACGTTCGTGCAGGCGTAACAACTCCTTTGCTCTTCCAAGCCGAACCTTTTTTTGATTTGGTGTAAGATGGTGTGCTTTTTGGAACTTGTAAGGCTTGACCTTGAGCTCCTTTTTCAATATTCGTTGCATGCTTCGCTGGGATATTTTCAGTTCTTTGGTCATTTGATTACCACTACGACGTGGATTACGTTCAAGTCGAGCCTTCACTTTCCGAACCATTTCAGGTGATGTTGCTGTTTTTTTTTTTTCGTCCACCACCATAACGTTTGTCATTGCTAACAGTATCATTATAACGAGTTATGGTGAGTTACACAAACATTTTATTCACTTTGAAGTGTTTGAGCTGACGAACAATAATTATTTGTGATTTTCCAGCCAAATATAACGCAATCACACTATTACGTTTAAATTATATTGCGAGTAACTTTTGTTGTATGTATAAAACTTAAATGCAAATGCTTTTGACGGCTTATAAACCATATTATACTGAAGTGTTATGATGCCAACTTTGACATAGCTGTCATTATCAATTTGCCAGATATATCGATGTGAAGTTGGTAACAGTTCAATTGCGTAACCCTGTATTTATCACAAGAAGGATGACGCAGTGTATAAGTAAATCCTCATATTGATAACGAATTATTTGCTTTTGTTTTTAACAATGTGGTATAATTTTTCAAACGAGACCGTTTTTCTTGTGCTTATTGCTAGTCATATCACTTCTGATTTTTCCCATAATTCTTCTAGCATATTTTTTAATTTTATGCCTTATGTTTGCCTTTCCTTTATGTTAACGCCTTATTCTTTTTATTGTATTTTTTTTAAATATATCTACCATTACCAATGCAAGAAACAATTTGGTAGATATAATGTTTTCTTATCATACTTCCCTATTCATTTTTATCGGTTTTGAGTTTGTAGTTTAATAGCACTTCGAATGTTTAATATAGTTAGTTTAAAGGAAGCATTTCGCAATAAGCGACTGAGACAGGAGACCGAGACAGGTGAGATAGGCGAGACCGAGACACAAAGTGAACTGTTCCTAAAATGAGTAAGGCACCGAGACAAGCAACATACGCAAAACGCGCGTCTATACTTCAAGATATCAGATGGAGAAAAAGGGAGCGTACCGACTTTGAAACTATTCTTTAATAGACTACTGGAAGAAGAAAAAACTAGCCAGTAAATCCATTAGTAATTCGTCTTCCTTGCCATTAAATTTTATTTCATAGGCTAGATATTTTTAGTATCCCAAAGTGCGTATTCCCAAATTCACTAGTTCCCAAATCGTGTATTTTCGAGACCTTCTTCGCATTCTGTTATGGAATATTCTTCGAAAAATCTTAAGAGTGTGGTTTATTAGGCTAATTCATAGATATTTTAATCATTTTCTAGCATTGTGTTTTCTAGGTATTGTAACAAAAATGGACTTGAGCCAGTCTGTGGGAATCACTCCAGTGTTATATATTGCATTCAAAAGTTTCACTAGTATTTTTATGTTATCTTCATCTATTAGCTTCAGCAACTCAGTTGGTGTATAATTAGCTTTCCTAATTTTAGCATTTTTAAAGCGTGTTTTACCTCTAATTTTATAATTTCTGGCCCGTAATTACAATTTTGATTGGATTCTGTAACATTCTCTGTGCCATATTATACAGTTGCCATTCTCTTGTTATTTCGTTCTTATTTATATGCTATTTTCGACTAGTACAGAGGGAACTTATTTTTTAATATGTTTCTTATTTCTTTTATTTTTTTGTGCACATTAAAAAAGTCGTGCCTAGATATCACATCCTTATTTTCCTCGCAACTTTCTCTCATCCATTTTGTTTTTGGCTAATATTATCTCCCTTTTAATTCTTCAATGTAGATGTCTGTATTCTTTTTCTTTTAATTTTATAAGTCGACGTTGCTCCATCACTTTTAAGATGTATTCCATCATCCATTAATTTTTCTTGATTAAGTTACTTCTATAATCATTGTTTATAGAGATTTTTGTGAACTTGGCTTTTAAATTTATTCCACAGTTCCTCTCGATCTTCTAGTTGTACTCCGTTGTTCTTTATTCTATTTTTAAATTCTTTTTTTATTAATACCTTTTATGCTTATAAAAAAAAAAGAGGTTAATCTTTGTAAATGGGTATATTTATTTAAAAAACCCTTAAAAGGGCCACATCAATAAAACAAACGTTTTCGGACCACACAGTCCATCATCAGGTTATTAAAATCGAAAATGCCTAAAAATAAGTATAAAACCATTTAGTTAAAACAAACGAGATTTTGAAATTTTGACTATGGTTGAAAAGCAAAAGATGGTTATACTTACTAGGTCATAATGTCTGAGCCACCAAAATATTAGGGTAAAAACCCTTTAAATTACATTTAGTTATGAAATGTTGTACATTGTGTTATAAAATAGCTGTGATGTTCAATATTAAATTAAATTTGACTAAAGGTAACACATGGCTCAATTGGGTTCCAGAGCCGGGTGAGAGGGTACCTCTGCACTCGGAGAACAACGTGGAACTGATTGACAAGATACTTTTGAAGGATGAAGATAACAGAATGTCAATGCAACAAAAACTATAAAAGTTGTACATAGTATTACTACAGCCAAAAGATTCAACAAGTTTTGATGATTTTAAAAAATAACAACAATCTAGGTGTTGGGATTTAAAATCATCAAAACTTGTTGAATCTTTTGGCTGTAGTAATACTATGTACAACTTTTATAGTTTTTGTTGCATTGACATTCTGTTATCTTCATCCTTCAAAAGTATCTTGTCAATCAGTTCCACGTTGTTCTCCGAGTGCAGAGGTACCCTCTCACCCGGCTCTGGAACCCAATTGAGCCATGTGTTACCTTTAGTCAAATTTAATTTAATATTGAACATCACAGCTATTTTATAACACAATGTACAACATTTCATAACTAAATGTAATTTAAAGGGTTTTTACCCTAATATTTTGGTGGCTCAGGCATTATGACCTAGTAAGTATAACCATCTTTTGCTTTTCAACCATAGTCAAAATTTCAAAATCTCGTTTGTTTTAACTAAATGGTTTATACTTATTTTTAGGCATTTTCGATTTTAATAACCTGATGATGGACTGTGTGGTCCGAAAACGTTTGTTTTATTGATGTGGCCCTTTTAAGGGTTTTTTAAATAAATATACCCATTTACAAAGATTAACCTCTTTTTGTTATACGTGGTATACAGCCAGCTACAGGAATTTTTCCTTGTGGATTTTTTTTATGCTTATATCGTCAAAATAATTATATTGGTTTTGGTTTTTGTCATTGGATTCGTTTTAACTTTAGTTTAATATCTGTCACAAGGGGTTTGTGATCAGATCCAATCTCTGCTCCTGGAAATAAATTCACTTTTTTGACGGCATTTTGGAGGCTCTCACTTATAAGTAAATCTATTTGGTTTGTTGAAGACCCAAAGTTGCTACCATCATCAAATGGGGCTTTCCAGGTATATACCTGTCTGGGTAGTTTATACCAGGTTTTAACCATGTCGAACATCTTTACAAAATTCATACAATCTCTGTCTTCGATCGTTAGTTTGTCCAAGATCATAAGAACCTACACTTTGATCTCGTCGACCTTTCCCAATGTTTGCATTGAAGTCGCCTATAATATATATAATTTTATATCGTCGGGACATATATTTAAAGTATGTTGGTTTGGTAATATTATTCTATCAGAGACTGATACGAAGTTAGTCAAAAATTTACCAAGTTCTGATGTTACTAATATATCTACACCATCTTTTTTTTGGATGCGGGTTTTCTGCGCTGTTACCGGAATAATATAATACATTACCGTTCTTTTTACATGTCTCTGACTCTGACCAACTTAATTCGCTTATTCCCAGTAGATCTATTTTCATTCTTGTTATTTCTTGAATTGCATTGTCAAGTTTTCCATCCGCAAATAAACTTCTGACATTCCTTTCTTCATATTCTTAAATTAGATTTTCTTTTTTCTAGAATTTATTCACGACTCTTTCTCTCCTTTCTTCCTCTCCAACCGACTCTTTGCCACCGCTCTCCATGATTAGTACCGGTCTGCAATTGATGTAAATTGTCAATGGCGTAAGAATGCAGAAGGCATTCTTAATGGTCAATGGCATAAGAATGCCATCTGCATTTTTATGCCATTGACCATTTGTTTATTTAACTGTTATAGTGGACATACTTACGAGAGATCTAGTGCAGTGTTTTACAAAGTTTACGAATGCGGCAAATGAACTAGGGCTTATTCTCTTCTTTATAGGAGCTAAATATAATAATTACATAATCTTTTTAGTCTTATTTATTTAACTCTTTTATAAAATTTCAGTAAATTCCTCCGTAATATATACGGTAGATTACAAATTGATTACCAAAAAGGATGGAAAGCGGTATATAGACACAAACACACTCAAATCTCATTTGGACCTAAACGTTGAAAAAAGCCATTATCATTTTGGAAATCTCTTCGGTGGAAATAAGGTTTTAGGTGAGTATGAACAAAAAATTAATCTTTTTTTGTGACCAATTTTTGTAATTTAACAAAAAAATTAAAATATGCTGTGCACGTCACGATCCGGATTTACGACGCTCTAAATTTTTTACGTCCAGATTGCTGACGCTCTACTGTATTGGAACAGTGTTTTCGTGTCAGCTACAAGCCCTGTTGTAAGACTTGTTCACACGGGTAGAGTTGTGAGGAGTAAAGTCGACTCTACTCGCTACTCTACCAAAAATAGCTTGATACCGTTCACACGAGGAGAGTTACAAGTATAGTACTGATGCTAGTATATTGTGGAGTGGGTGTTTGTTTAGTGTAAAATGAATTCAAGGAAAAGAAAATTGATGCAAAATTGTTTATGCATTTGTAACTGAAGTCGCTGAAGCTATCGATGATGAGGTAAACAAACAAAGAAAGGAGTGGATGAGAGACTGACTTAAAAGAAGGAATGCACACGGAGCCTCAGCACTTCTGCTAAGAGAACTAACCTTAGAGGATGAGTTGGAATATAAGATGTGTCTAAGGATGATCCCAGGGAAATTCGAAGAACTTCTGAATATGGTGCATGACAAAATCGAACGACAAGACACGTTTATGAGGGATGCAATAAAACCAAGAGTGATGCTTGAGATTCTGTTGAATATTTGAGCTACAGGGAACAGCTATTGAAGCCTTTCTCATTTTTTTGGGGTTTTAAGACCTGCAATTTCAAAGTTGGTCCCCGAGGTGTGTGATGCCATCTCCGCAGCTTGCTTCATACTTTTATTTCTATAGTCTACACTACCCAAATTCCATACACACTGGTATTGACCATACATTTCTACAAGTTTTAAAGTTTCACCTTCGGTGAACTTAATTTTCACTATCTACACAAAACACAGCTCCAGTCGGAATGACAGCATCCCTATGCACTTTCCTACCTACTCTTCTCTACCAGAATTGACTGCGTTCCATGGGTAGAGTGCGCAGGCGAGTGGATATTTTGGCGGTGCTGGTGGTAGTACAGTAGAGTTACTTTGTCACATGTTGCTATTCACTCTACTCTACCACCTACTATGCACTCTACTTGCTGCTCTACTGCACTGAGCGTTTTTACGGTAGTTACTTACTGTAGTTACTTTACTCTGCCAAGTACTTGCATCATTAGTCTACCCGTGTAAACGGGTGTTGACTGTTCAAAATCATAACATGTTTAAGATATTTACATTAACATATTAATTTATTACAATATTTCTACTTCTTTACCTTATTTATTTTCATTTATTAAACAGTATTTATTCTTTTTTTTTTAAATAAAATTCGATTAATATTAAATGGGTATTTAGAATATAGATGATTTTTAAAAGACTGAATTTCATGTAATTGTGAAATTAAGTCTTAAACGCAAATAACCGTAAATTATTAGTAAGGATGCAAAAATATTTCTAATATATGATTTTTATTTTAGAGGACAGCTTTAACAACGTACTCAACGAGAATTCTAAAGAAGTAGATGACATTTCAAAGGAAACGAATAGATCAGTAGTCAATAGTATTATAGAAACAATTTTAAAGTCTATATTTAAAATACCGTTCGACGATATATTTGTAGACTAAAAATCAGTATTAATTGTATAATAATCGGTGTACATAAGTTATTAAATAGCATGAGCATTACTTTAAGAATAAATACAAAGGATTAAAAAAATGTGTGATTTTTTATTGCCAAATAAACAAAAAATCATTTCTTTGAAAATCTTTGGAAAACAAAAACCCAAAAACTTCACATAGATGAAAATTAAGCCCTTTAAATGGAATTAAATTACTTGCGGTCCACTGCAAACTCTATTATTAAAAGTACCTATAGTAGGCAGAATGGTAAGAATAAAATCCGTTTTCGCAAATATCTCTTAATCAAATAAAAATCGCGAATGTAAAAATATTTACATTCACGAATTTAGCCGTAATTTAATTTTTCTCTTTTTATTTCCTAAATAGAATATCTATTATAAATTTAACTGTGGTTTAATGGTAATTTTTTCAAGTTGGCTTATGTCACTTTTTTTGAGACATTTTGTGTAGCAATAAAACTTGCCATTAATATGTGGAACCAATACGGCTTGAAGATATTTACAATTATATCCAAATCGAGAGCAACCCAAGTACAAACTGTTTTGAAATCTTTACAACCGCCTAGGTGAGACGGAATCTTTACTTTCTAAAAGTCAACAAGGAGCTACAAAAACTGTTAATATCGATAAAGAAGATGGAATTTTATTTTGTGTTGCAGGGAACCCAGGGACCAGTACTCGCCGATTAAGTCTGGCAACAGAGATAAGCCAATCGTCTGTTTTTTGAATAATGAAGAGGGAAAACTGCATCCATATTATTACACTCCTGTTCAGAATTTACTACCTCAAGATTTACCTGCGTGACTACAATTTGCTAAATTTTTATAAGATAAACAAAATATTAACCCAGATTTATTAAATACAATTCCCTTTAGTGATGTCGCAACATAGTTGCAACATCACTAAAGGGAGTTGTATTTAAAACAATACTCTGTCTTCTTTTCTACTCTCACTGTGGAACTTGAGCATTACTTCAACCAGACTTAACATTGTGATTTTCTAGCGTACTCCCATCTAGTACTCTCCTCTTTTCCCTTAACCCTTTTACATGGAGCATTCTCCACAGTATAGGCATACTGTTTTTAGCAGTACTCACTTTCCTTCCTTTTACATCTTGTGATACTCCATCAACTTCTGAATAATCTAACGTTACTCAAGAATTTACAATGCCAACAAAAATCCTGATTACACCTAAGTAAATCCGACCATGTTCTGAAGCTATATAATGCAAAGAAGCTCAGATAGGACGGAAGAAAGGTAGAAGTCGTATTTTAACTAGTAGGTACACCAGACAAAGCAGAAGCAGAAAGATTAGCTCTCGAAAGTGAAAGAAGGAAGTCTGGTAAATCAACTGCAGCCATCCATAATCTATCTAATAAGAAAACTGGCAAAGATTCAAGACCTTCGTCCGAGAAAGTACAAATTCTATATCAGGATATGAGGGAGGATGAAATGGTAGAAATAAATTGGAATAATAGTTTTGTGAATCTTAAACTTGATGATTTTACGCTTGTTAAACTTTGTACTAAAAAGTCTCTTGTTTGTTATATTGGTAAAGTTTTGAAATAGTATGCAATTGATGACATTGAAGTTCAATTTATGCGTGAAAATGGAGGAATTTGGAAATTTTATTTTTAAAATGTGAGGGACAATAGCAGAAAAACGACTTATTGCTTAAATTGCCTGCACCAATATCTTCTAGAGTTACAGAGATTGTAAAATATATCATTGGTAATAGTTAATTGATCAAAATACAATGTAAAATAAAGGAAAGTTTTTATTATGTTAAAAGATAAAATGTAATAAATCCTGTCTCCGACCTCCCTAGTAGTGACCCCCTTCCCTCATGTCTCTCAAATACTTATTTAAAATATATTCGGTCAAGCACATGGTAAAATATGTATTGGGTTAAATATTTGTTAATAGGGCGGAAGTACGAAGTGCGAAAACAAGCAGAAATCAGCTCAGAGTCATAACCGGCTTCCTTATGGGACATGTAAGAAACACCTACATACAATGGGACTGTTGCAGTGGGACTTAAGCTGTAGACTCTGTAGCAGAGGACCTGAAACAGTAACCATATCTTGTATGACTGCGAGCCAATTCATTGGAGGCAAAAAACAATTTTCGGAGTCTATGGAGTCAAAAACATATGGTACTGTTACGAACGTGCATTTATGCACGTGCACCTCATGCTTCCATGCGGCGCGGCGGCATCTCGAAAGCGACTCGATATTTCGAGAAAGATCAGTCGCGTTCGCCTAGAGGTGGGAACTTTCTAGAAAATAGTAACTTTAGTATATATATGTAACGATCTTAGGAATAAGTTTAGTTTATAAGATAGTATCGAACTGTAAAGTTATAAATAAATAAATTTATATAAATTCGAACCGCTCGTTTTATTTAAAAACGGTACAGTTGGTGTCCGGTGTGAGATTTGAATATAAATGCAACAGTGATTTTTTGAAAAAGACTTGAATTTTTGAAAAAGACTTTTGAACTTTTGAAAAGTATTGTTCGTCGGGAACATCCGCGTAGTTCGGTAGTGCACGTTGTACCAAAGAACATTTCAAAAAGTACGTGTGTGCCTGACCAAAGATGCTGCTAGTAGAACTTTCAGTGAAACAGTTGCATGAGCAACTAGAAGAACGCGATGAAGACTGCAGTGGGTCCAAGAAGATACTACAAGAACGACTGAAGACTGTTCTCAACAAGAATGGAGAAGACCCAGAGACATTCCAGTTCCAGTCAGCAGAAGAAGCAGTTTTAACGAAAATAAAAAATATGTCGCAAATGATTGAAGAATCTTCTAAAAAAAATGATAGTAAATTTGAAAATGTGTCTAGAAGATTCGACGAGAAATTTGAGAACGTCTCGCAAATGATTGAGGTTACTTCTAAAAAAAATGATGATAAATTAGAGAACGTTTCCAAAAGATTCGATGAGAAATTCGAAAATGTATCTCAAAGATTCGACGAGAAATTTGAAAATGTTTCTCAAATGATGGAAGAAACTTCTAAAAAGAACAATGAAAAATTTGACGAAGTTTCTAAAACATTTGATAAGATACAGAAAAATGTAAACGACAAGATAGAAGACGTAGAAGAGAAGATCAAAAAGTTAGAGAGCATGATAACTAACACAAAAATGCTACCACCAGTTAACACAGTAGCCTTAGATCCGGTAGTGAAAGAAGAATCACCGAGAGACGAAACGACACATCATATGAGATTCAAATTGCCACCATTTGATGGAAAGTCCTCTTGGTCCATATACCTTAGACAATTTGAAGCTATTGCGACAGCCAATCATTGGACAGAACAAGAAAAAAGCCGTTTCCTTGACTGCTGCTTTACGAGGTGATGCTGCGGATATCCTAGGATCGATTCCTAAGGGTCAAGAAAAATGTTACCAGACCTTGTTTACTCGACTAGACAAACAATACGGAGATGCCCATCTACAACAAGTCTACAAGGCGCAACTAAGAAGTAGAACTCAGCGAGCAAGTGAGAATTTGCAAGAGTTTGAAGCAGATGTTGCTCGTATAGTGCGGTTGGCTTATCCGGAGGTACCAGACAACATTTTGGATGAAATTGCCGTAGATACCTTCGTCAATGGGTTAAAAGAAAGTGAATTACAGAAAGCTTTACGACTAGCAAGACCGAAAGTTTTAGATGAAGCGCTCGCTATTGCCTTAGAACATGAAACAGCTAGTCAAACTTCACGGAGCCATCGAGTAAGAACCATCGAAGAAGGCGACGAACTAAACGATGAACGTCTAGAAGAAATGGTAAGAAAAATAGTTCATAACACGATGCCGAAGAGACGCGAGCCAGATGTTGGAATTGTGGTGACGTAGGTCACATTCGCCGCAATTGCAAGAAAATGATACAACAGCCGGAAAACTAGAACGGGTCGACACTAAGGGGCAACTGCCGACCTCGAGAAACACAGCCCCCATAGTAACTGTGAACATTACGTCCTCCGGTGGAATTCATAGCTTGTACATCGAGGGTCGTATATAACAATAAATGTAGATCGTTTTTGGTAGATACAGGTGCAACAAGAACTATTGCACGGCCAGAAGTAGTACGAGACCATCTTAAATTATCGCCTGCAACAGTAAAGCTTAGAACAGCAACTGGTGAGATAATTAATACATATGGCGAGGCTAATATGTCAGTATCCATTGGCCAGACCACAGTGAAACATAGAGTATTAATTGCAGAGATCTCCGATGAGTTCATATTGGGGATGGATTTGCTACGGAAAGTTGGGGCTGTATTGAATGTCAAAGATGGAGTTCTCGAGATCGGTGGTGAAGAGTTGCCGTTTCATGAAGACAAAGAAGATGTTATCAGCTTAATAACTACTTGTGACGTAACAATACCCGGTAATAGTGAGAAAATTTTGATGGCCAGACCTGATAGTTACTGCCGAGAGGGAAGTTTAAGGATGGTCGAAGATGTGAACAATGCCGAGTTCCTAACGGCAAAAGCTTTGGTGAGAATTCGAGATGTCGTTCCTGTAAGAGTTATGAATTTAAAGGGAACTGCTATTAAGTTAAGTAAAAGAACTTTGATCGGACAGTGTGTTCCCGTGGCTTCGATTTGTTCCATGAGTACTAATGAGAAACCGTCGAAATCTAAGTATCCAAAGGAGCTTGTTGAGACGATGATTAAAACGTGCCAAGATCTTGATGATGAACGAACTAAAAAAGTGAAGTCTATGCTGATAGAATTTCAAGATGTTTTCGCCATTGATAAGAACTATAACGGCAAAACAAGCATAGTAAAGCATAAAATTAATACCGGAGACGCTCAGCCAATCAGACAACAACCTAGACGACTTCCATTTGCGAAAAGAGATGAAGCCGAAGACATCATCAAAGATATGACCAAACAAGGGGTAATTGAACCATCAAACAGTCCATGGACATCACCAGTAGTGCTAGTAAAGAAGAAAGATGGTTCAACACGTTTTTGTATTGACTACCGACAGCTCAATGCGGTGACTAAAAAAGATAGTTATCCTTTGCCGAGAATAGACGATACATTG